CTTGATGTCTCTATTATATCATATCAAAAAATGAAAGAAATCTATGGCAAACGGGAGAAAACGGTTACCGTATTTTCTCTAATAGTAGTGCACACTGAGCGTCGCCTAAATTGCTCGAAATTTCGACAACCGCTTATCAGAACCTATCGATATGGGATCCGGAAATGTAGCTGACGATGAGATCTTGTGGGGGATTAGAGTGTTGAGCTTCTGCAAAAGCTTGGAAACTGTAAAATAGTCACCAACTCGGCTCGCCGGGGTGCACTGCTATTAGAGAAAATACGGTATGTTCAAATCGCGGTCGTTTCATATGAGACAACTTAATACAGTCGACTCTCGATTTAACGATTCACTCGAGACCAAAAATTTCGATTTAACGATTCTAAAACATGCCCCAAATTTCTTGCGTAGCTGCCCTGGACGGCCAACGATTGCGTTTGGCTGGGCAGCTACGCAGAAACCAAGGGCGTGCTTTAAAATTACAAAATCGTTTTATCGAGAATCTACTGTATTTTACTTTATAAGTTGAAAGAGTGTTTTGAAAGATTACTGATCTAAAAGTTCGTCTAAAGTAAGCATTTTGCATTTAAGTTGCACCGAATTCAACCCAGCCCTGAGGCGCAGTGCTCGTGAGCTCCAGAGTCGATTGATCATCTTGAAGGAGGTTTAAAAAATTGTACAATTATTTCTGAACAAGTTTCATTTTTAGGAAATCAAAAGCTACGAGGAAGCCAATATGTATCCACTTGTTGACGAGCAACAAAAAAAGCTCTTCCGACCGATCGGCTTCAACAATTTCACCGAGAAGGTGCCCGTTAACAACGATTTGGAGGCTTTGCTTTCCATTCCATCGATCGATTTTAGCACAAATTCGTCGCTGGCTGAGGAAAATTTTGATTCGACCAAAGACGAGTATCAAAATCAACAAAACAATCAATTAACAGGTGTTCAAAACCTAGCGGATCATTTGGAGACTCGTTTCGAGAACCACTTCCGCCATCTGAGAACAGAATTGAAGTCATTGGATGAAACGAAACGATCAGTTTTCTTCCAAACTCTACCAACGATTATCGAAGAAGCAAGGGCTAACTGTGAGATACCATTCGGTGGGCAGTATTGCCCCAAAATGATCCATATCTTTGATCATCCGGAAGATTTTGGAGACTACTTTAAAGCTATACTCGTCAACGATCACGACGAGAAACTCGACAATCTCCAAAATGTTTTCGTTTTCGATGAAGCCTGGCAAGAATCGTTCTTGCCGAGTTGGAACTATGTACGAATTTCAGCTATTATCGACAATTTTTCCTTGTATAAAGGAAACATGCTTACGCCAAAGCTCTTCTTTCGTTCGTTCATCTCTTTACGAACTGCTGACGAATGGTTTCTTGTCAGTGAAAGCGAGCAACTTTTTGTGAAAGCCGATTTTAGTAGACAAGAAAAAGCCGAAAATTGGTCAGTCGAAAGTAAAGAAGTTGTATTTTCCACTGGAGAGGAACTTGTTTTTGAATCAATTCGATCGATGAACATCGCCGATGTTGTCCAGACTCTAGAACAGACCAGAGGCCGGTTCATTTCTCAAATTCAAGCAAAAATGTCTCGTTATGTCCCACTGGACTCATCAGATTTGAAAAACAAACAACTTTCCAACTCGAAAATCGCGATCAATGCCCAGATTCCAGGATACGTTTGTCAGCTGAGAAATCCTCCACGTCAACAGTGTCTTCATCAAAAGAAATGCTCAGTGAAATATCTAAATCCATATCCTCTCCATCACCAAAATAGTCTCTCTGGAACGATTAGTGAAAAATTTATGATCCCCTATTATGAATGTGCTTCTAAAGAAGAACAAGACTATCTATCCGAGTGGCTTTGGCTTTGTGATGAGTTAGGTTTAAAAAAGGAAAGCTATGCTCAATTCGAGAAAACCGAGGCTTCCGAATTAGTCAAATTTGGCAACTCGTTTTACTTTCGAGAATTTCTGAACGAAAATCATTATTACATCCTCCTCGATCACCCAGAAAACTACGAGAATCACGAGAAAGTTCCTTGTTTTGATGGCGATTTTAAAACACATTTATTTTCGGCTGATCTTATTCGAAAATCGATGAATGAAATGAAAAAAGAAGAGCAGAAATTTCTAAAAATTACCAGAATTGAGGGGAATTTCCCCGTTTTTCGATATGCCACTCAAGTGCTCGATTTTGAGGGAAAGGAAGTGCCGTTTGACGATAAATATGTGAAAGAATCCGATTTTTTGAGGTCAAAAGCCGAAATTTTTCAAAGTTCTGCAAATAAAAAAAAAGCAAACATTTAAAGAACTCGTTTTTGTGTTTATTTTTCGTTTGCCTATTCGTTTGCCTATGAAATAAAAGCTCTGTTTTAAGCAGTGAAGTTGACTTTCTTTTAAGTTGTGTCTTTTGATCTATTGGGTTGTCCAGTTATGAATGCGCGTTTCTTACTATTTTGTATATTTCTCAAGATACCGAAATCAAGAAAAAGGTTTATATGAGTATTATTCGAAAGCTGAAGATCTCCTCTACATTTTGATATAAACAGTTTTTGAATTTGTTCAGCTTTTGGGCAAATTGACTGCACAAAAGTAGAGGTGGCCAAAAAATGGAAAGGTGCCTTTGGATCAAGTTTTGGCTTCACTCAAATTGAGTTAACCGTTTGATGTTTGGCCAATAGATATATCAATACAACTGTTTTTTAAATATAACAATTTCAGAGCATCTTTACTTTTCTTTTCTTTTCTGGGCGGTTATTTTACACCATAAAACTTGAGGAATAGCTAAGCTGGAATGGGTTTTTTTTGAAAACGACCTCTCCCTTTGTGCAGTCAATTTCCCAAAAAGTTAAATGAATTCAAAAACTTATTTATTCCAAAATGTAGAGGAGATCTTCAGCTTTCGAATAATATATAACACTCATATACATCTGTTCGATATCTTGAGAAATTTACAAAATAGTAAAAACGCGCATCCATAACTGGACAACGCAATAGTAATGAAAAAATTTCAATAAACATTTTTTCCTTGCCTATGATATTACTTGCTTCTTTTTTGAGACTATTTTGTTGAAAATTTCTAGTAAAAAATAGCAGAACTTTTAGAAACATTTCAAACATTTTACTTTCTTTTACTGATCAAAAGCAGGAAAAAAACAGCAGGAAAAAACAAAAGCAGGAAAAAAACATGAAAACATGAAAATAAAGAGTGACAAGGTTTATAATATAATATGCTTTATTCATTTGAATAGCGACAAAACAAAATGACAATAATTACCCAGGACACTACTCAAAACACACCCAAAAGATAAATAGATACCTCAAGAAAGAATCACAGAGCAGTCAAATCAATTGCTGATTGCTTTGCTTATTGCTCAATTGCTTTAAATCTAGCCAAGGTGGGAATGAGAAGATGAGGAAACCTATTATACAGATTCTCTACAGATTTGGTTCCTTTTCTCTACAGATTTGATTCCTTTTCGGTACAAATTTGGTTCCTTTTCGGTACAGATTTGGTTAAAGGGGTAAAAGGGTCGACAATTTAATAACTCGATTAAAAGATATTTTATGTCAATTTCTAACATTTTTGTCTATTTCAAACCTTGTTTGTCGGCTGAAATTCCGGCGCTGCCACCCTCGACATACTGTTGAAGAAATACGAACACGAATCGGTATAAAAGTTATCCCCTTAAAGGAATGGCTCAAATTAGGACCGATTCTCACGAAAACTAAATTACCGTATTTATTCTAATAGAAGAGCATGCTCTATGGAAAAGAATGCTTTTCTATTAGGTTGTAAAGTAAATAGGGAAAGGCATGAAATTCCTGTGAGCTTTCTTTTCTGGATTAGATACATCTTACTAAATCGAGTATGGAGATTCATAATCTGAAATCAAAATTTGCCAAATAAGCTTGTAAACGTATAAAAATTGATTTGAAATTTCGAAGATAAGTTTTAAAGAGCGCTTTTCAATCATTGGAAAAAGCGCACCGGTGGCTTTTACCCATCCATTGTAAGTATTACAGGATAGCTCTTTGTTCATTTCTCATTGTGATGTAAATTGTAACTTGAAAAGACAAAAAACACACGCACTTTGCTTTTATCAGATGTTTGCATTGTGAAAACTTGTATTGTTTTGAATGCTTCGTGATCTCGTTTCATATATGTGTCAGCTCCGAGCCAAACTGATATTTTAGTTGCTATTGTTATTATTGAATGATTTGTCTATTCTTATGCAAATGTGTTCTCCCCTATGCTTATCCCTTTCATCGCCGAGAAGGGGCGGTCCTTGGGATTGCCTAGGAGGACAAGTGAGACTCTCCTTTAGAGTCCCTCCTTCCCCTTCCACTCATTTGTAATCTATTCGTCTTATCGTACTACTGTAAATAAAGATACATATCTTCCGGGGCTATGCGACTGCAGCTCAGGTCGGCCATTTCACAGGGACTCCCCTCTAATACGTTGGAGGAGTTGAGTTGGGTTGTCGGGGTGTTAGAGATGGCGGGATATCAGAAGGATCCACTCTCTTTAACTTAACCCAAATTCTAGTCCATATCCGTTTACTCGTAGGAACGAATAATTTTCAGAAAAACTTGAATTTCTGCTCGTTTCAAAAGTTACCCAAATTTGCTCAAGCATATCTTATAGATAATCCATCGCGATGGATTATCATATCGATAAAGGGCACGGCCGAGTTATTTCAACTATTTCATTCCTAATCTGCGAAAAACCGTGCTCGTCTCGCAATTGTCTTCCATTACAAGCTTGGGAAGGTTCAGATTCTTACGACTCGCTGAAGGAAAAGGGAATTTGGAAAGACTTTGAAACTTTGGTGCAAGCCGGATATATGGTTTTTCTCGGTGGAGACCTATCTTTCTTGAACACCAACTTTGGTCTTTCCTGTGCGATGACATTTGGATGTTTATGGTGCAACAAGAGGTTTGACAAAAAACCATCCGCTGATAAGGATTCAATTGATTTTCAACAATATGCTGATCGGAGTGACCCTTCGGTGGAAGCGATGATTTCAAAAGTAAAAGGTCTGCAGGCAAAAAAAGAAAATCTATTAAATATTTCTCGAAGTTTGGTAATTCCCCCAATACTTCATGCAAAAATCAAGATTGGAAACCAACTTTTTGAACAATTGGTGAAACTCGAAGGCTCCTCTCAGACTTTCCAAGATGTTTGTCGAAAATGCAAGTTGGATGTGGATCGGAAGAGTGATGGGATTATCTATGCTCGTTTCAACGGAAACGATATAAAGAATCTCTGTCGATCCTCAGTGATTTCTGATTTAGCAGTCGTTTCTTCCTCCCGTTCCTATCAAGTAGTCATTTCTGCATTACGTGAGTTCAACAAATGGTCTCAAATGGCTTCAACCACTAAAAGTGTTCTTTCGGATAAAGAAATAAAAGATTTGGCTTGCAAAGGCAAACATTCAAAAGCCAGAAATTGCTGCCAAACAGCGATTCTTTCCGATGAACTAGAAAAAGTTGGTGGTTTTGGACAAAGTGTACTGGTCCATGCTCTACTCTTACATGTTGGCCCATTTGTCCATGAGCATAAATTCATCGGAAATGCATCCGAAGAGGGCATTGAGGCAGTTCACAGCAAGCTAGGATCTGAATTTGCTCGAAACAAGACAGGACCACAACAAGAGCGACTAATGAACTCGCTTAAGTGGCTCGGTTATGTTGTTCTCCTCAATGATGATGGAAAGATGATTTAATGATCTTAATTTCCTCCTTTTGATTCTTTTTTTTGTCTAATTCATGCTTAAAAATAGAATAAATTTTTTCTAGACTATACCAGATCTGCAAGTACCGCAGAACCAGAAAAAAAACTGCATTCCAGATTATAAAATCGGAGAAAACTAATAAAAAGTCAAAGTTTTTGGTATATTCTTTCCGCCATGTTTAAACGCATAAAAATGCTTTCGAATGATATATAACACTTGATGATTTGACACAAAAGAAAAATTTTACCAACATCAAAGGTGCGCGTGGGCCATATAACCGCGCACTTCTAAAAAACCTAGGTTTCAGAGCTCGCGTTTCCATTGACCAAAACACAAAATTAAAAAACAATTCCCAACCAACTTTTTGCGTAGAATTCAGAAATTTGCTTTTTGAGCCTAGTTTTTCAGCTAGATTTTCGTGAAAAAAATTATTTTGACTTTTCGGCGCCGAATATGGAAAAAATTTCCTGGAAAAATAGAATTCCACAAAAATTCAATTCAGTATTCTGAAAGAGCGTGAAAAGAGCTATTGAATGACATATAACACTTTATTGTTCGATGAAATATGAAATTTCACTAACATCAAAGTCGCCGCCTTTAATTCTGAAATTTTGGATAGACGGTTTCGGATTATTTTATTTTTTCCGTTCATTTTTGGGCCTAACTTAAAATTTGTAGTGTTCGGATTTTTGATTTAAAGAAAAAAAAAATTTACACAGGGGTGTAATCGATGTGCATCGTAAATACTCTAACAAAAGCGCATGCGCTTCTAATTTTTCCCTTTCCCTCTGGTTTTCCCTTCTTGTTTCGAAAAATCAAACTCATTGTCACAATTTCCCTATATCATTTCAAAGTTCGTCTTTTTTGGAACGGCGTCACCGCTTGTTGTGAGGCAAACGGCAATCCGAATGGTGGTTACTGCGTTAATGGACCCGCCTTCTCTGACTGAAAAAAGGGAACATCTCTCGAGGGTTATGTTCAATTTTTGCGTTTTTTTTAATATAAACTGAATTGAAAGATGTTTTTCACGAAAACGACAAATGAAATCAGATTTTTGGTGTCGAGTTAGAGCTCTTCTTCTTGGTGACCATTGTACTTTTGACGGTTTGCGAAGAAGCTGAGTTGTACTTTTCTTTTTTCACTCGATGAAAACACCTTCTTTTTCAGGTAGACCATGTTTAAATAACTAAGCAAAGGTATGAAGGTTAAGTCTGAGAAAATGTAGCAAAACCTGAGTCCAAACGTGTAAAGACCTGTGGAGACGTTTGAGTTCACTTGCAATGCCACATTCGATAAGAAGAAACCAAAAAATGGATATTGTACAATGGTGACCAGACTTGAGACAAAATAATTCATAAAGTAGTATGTTGAGCTACCGATCATCTGAAAAGCGTTTTGTGACTCGTTTTGTATTTTCAGAAGATCCAATTGAATGAGTCAAGAGTAATAGATCAAAAAAACTCGTACAGACTCTGTTTTGGCAAAAAGAAGGCAATTTCGATTACCATTTTGCTACTCAATTTTCAAGTAACCAATTTTTGATTAAATGTCCTGATCCTGAACCAA